CGGTTCTCCGCCGCCCGGTGTAGCCACACGCCGACCCTGCGGTTAACTGGGCGGGCCGTCTGGCCAAAGCGGCCTTCCAGTTGCACGGCGTCTGTCCGAGGGGACCCCCGGCGCGTCCTCAGGCCGGAGCCCCCTCTACCTCCTCTGCCAGGTGAGGGCCTGGTGGGTGGGCTGGGTAGGAATTGACCCTCGGGCCACCCCGGGGCAGGTTCCTGTGGGCCGCTGGGGCGCTGAGCTTGGGTGGGGATGGGAGCTGGTCTGGGGAAGTTCCGCAGACGCAGACTCAGGGGAGTTGTGGGCGCCCGGGCCACCCCATTCCCTCCGCGGCCCGGCCCCCCGGCGAGAGCTTTGGTTTCCAGGAGTAACGTGACCTGCTGAGTCTGGTTTCCCCAGCGGATGAGGCCACGCCCCACACTCCTTCCTTTTCCTCCCCTCCCCGACCTCTGCTCCCTCCCTTTCCTCCTCCCCTTCCCCTCTTTCCCCTGCCCTCTCCCTCCCTCTTCCCCTCCTCCTCCTCCTCCTCCTCTTCTCTCTCTCCCGGGCCCCTCTTTCTGGGCTGCACCTTGGTTGCTTCCCAGGCTCAGCTCCTCCCTGCCTTCCCTGCCTGCCTTTCCTATTGGTCCTGCCTCTCCCAGGGGCCTGAGCTGGGGGACCTGGTCCTCAGAGTGCGGCAGTGACGCTGGGCAGTGAGGCTGGTCTGGAACGGGCCCACCAAGATCAGCGCCCACCAAGATCAGCGCCCACGTGTCCTCGCCCCTCCCCGCCCCCGTCCAGGTGAAATCCTGTCTTGGGATGAGAGGTGGTTTTTGTGCATCAGGGCCAGGGGCTGAGGGTCAGACATATTGAAGACACTGTTCTTTTTAATATATTTTTATTGGTTTCAGAGAGGAAGGGAGAGAGAGAGAGAAACGTCAATGATGAAAGTCATTGGGGGCTGCCCCCTGCAGGCCCCCTCCTGGGGCTTGAGCCCGCAACCTGGACATGTGCTCTGACCGGAATCCAACCGAGATCTCCTGGTTCATAGGTCGATGCTCAACCACTGAGCCACGCCGGCCGGGCGAAGACCCTGTTCTTAAAGAGGGGGGTCTTCCGCCGCCCCCATTGGTGATGTCTTCTCCTGGTCAGCCTTGCCCATCCCCTGAGCCCCCCCTCCCCCCAAAGGCTTGCGATCAGGGCCTCCTTCCCGCCCAGCTGGGCCCCTGGCGGGTGTGTGGTCCTTGGGGTCTGACAGAACCTGCGTTTTTCCGGGTTATTTTTGGGGTGATGCTCAGCGGGTCTGGGGCCCTCATCTTCCCAGACGAGCCTCGGATGCCGCTTTTCTAAGATCGTAGAAATGACGGCTGGGTCTTCCCTCTTCCCTCCCTCCAGCTCCAGGACCCCGTGTGCAAAGCTGGGGGCCGGGTCCTGTGGCCAGGAGACCTGGGGTCCAGGGAGGGGCAGTCACCAGGCCGCTGGGTGCTGACCCCTGGCCACCGCCCGAGGCTCCGTCTTGCTCAGGGGCCGCTTGATTCCGATTGGGGTGAGATTAGGGC